TATTGTGCCCAACTTTGCATGAAAAGTTCCCTTGGTATCTCTAATTTTCTTGAAGAGATTTCTAGTCTTTTCCATTCTATTGTTTTCCTCTATTTCTTTGCATTGATCACTGAAGAAGTCTTTATCTCTCCTTGCTATTCTTTGGAATTCTGCATTCAAATGGGTATATCTTTCCTTTTCTCCTTTGCTTTTTGCTTCTCTTCGTTTCACAGCTATTTGTAAGGCCTCCTCAGACAACCATTTTGCCTTTTTGCATTTATTTTCCATGGGAATGGTCTGGATCCCTGTCTCCTGTACAATGTCACGAACCTCCGTCCATAGTTCATCAGGCTCTCTGTCTATCAGATCTAGTCCCTTAAATCTATTTCTCATTTCCACTGTATAGCCATAAGGGATTTGATTTAGGTCATACCTGAATGTTCTAGTGGTTATCCCACTCTCTTCAGTTTAAGTCTGAATTTGGCAATCAGGAGTTCATGATCTGAGTCACAGTCAGCTTCCGGTCTTGTTTTTGCTGACTGTATAGAGCTTCTCCATCTTTGGCTGCAAAGAACATAATCAACCTGATTTCAGTGTTGACCATCTGGTGAACCATCAGCACCATTAGGACCTTGTATTTTCACTGCCCAAGGCAAAAGTTCAATCCCCGGTCTGGGACTAAGATCCTGCAAGTCACCAGACACGGAGGAAAAAAAACCCACACACACACACACAAATTTGAAAAAAAGAAAGAAAAAGGAAAAAAAATTAAAATAGTGAAATAACAATTAAAACTGCACTGGAAAAAAAAAAAAAAACTACACTGAAATGTTATTTCCCCACCCAATTGCTAATATCCCAAATTTTGATGACTAGTTGGATTGAGAAGGTGTTTGCAGGCAGGATCCTTCTACATTGTCGGTGGGTTCGCATACTGGAAGATGCTTTCATCAAATCTGTTACTGTCACGGATCCCCATTCTCTTTGATTCAGCAATGCCAGTTTTAGGAATTTATACTGCAGACATCATCTCACATGTGCAAAATATCATATATAAAATATTAATTGAAGCACTAAAAGATTGTTAACAATTTATAGCCAAGGAGCAGAATGAGGGGTGAGCGGGTTAACTGGATAGAACATTCTAAGAGGAAAGGAAGGTGGGGATTCTGGCTAAAGTGACATAACAGGATTCTTAGTGGAGGCAGGTCAGGGCAAGAGATATCATCTGAGATAGTGAAAGAAAGTGAAAGTGAAGTTAGTCATGTCTGACTCTTTGTGACCCCGTGGACTATAGCCTACCTGGCTCCTCCATCCTTGGGATTTTCCTGGCAAGAATACTGGAGTGGGTTGCCATTTCCTTCTCCAGGAGATCTTCCAGACCCAGGGACTGAACCCTGGTCACCTGCGTTCTAGGCAGACACTTTACCATCTGAGCCACCACCTGATCAGATGTGGAGGGGGATCAGATATAGAGTACGGAGGATTCTGGCTAAACCAATTTAAGAGGATTCTTGCTAAAATTGTGGACATACAAAAATTGAGGCCTCATTGGGTCCTGAGTAGAATGTGATCAAGGAGAGAATCTTTGTCATGCCCTTTTCTACTTTTAAAAATATTTAGTCACATGACTGTATTATTGTAGTGTTTTTTGTTTGTTTGTTATCCATCCTTGGGATTTTCCAGGCAAGAATACTGGAGTGGGTTGCCATTTCCTTCTCCAGGAGATCTTCCAGACCCAGGGACTGAACCCCGGTCACCTGCGTTCTAGGCAGACACTTTACCATCTGAGCCACCACCTGATCAGATGTGGAGGGGGATCAGATATAGAGTACAGAGGATTCTGGCTAAACCAATTTAAGAGGATTCTTGCTAAAATTGTGGACATACAAAAATTGAGGCCTCATTGGGTCCTGAGTAGAATGTGGTCAAGGAGAGAATCTTTGTCATGCCCTTTTCTACTTTTAAAAATATTTAGTCACATGACTGTATTATTGTAGTGTTTTTTGTTTGTTTGTTTGTTTTGCTATGCTACACAAGGCATGCATGATCTTATTAGTTTCCCCAGTAGGGATTGAACCTATGCCCCTTGCAGTGGAAGCATGGAGTCTTAACCACTGGACCACCAGGAAGTCCCATACAAGAAAACTTTTTTTATATAAACCAAAAAGTAACAAAGCATTTAATACAAAATAATCCATAGACTGTGGGAGAGGATACTTAGACTGAGAAAAGCAGGGAACCACTGACTTCTGTGAAAATATAAAGTGTTTTTACAGGAACCAAATCGTTATTAAAACTCCCTTTGAAAAGAAAATAACAGGAAGATTGATATTGGTGTTTATGGTGTAGAGTTTCCACATTAAGATTCTCAAAGTCTGTGCAACACAGTATCAAGTAGATCTGCTCACAGCAATAGAATCCTCTGTGACTTGGCAGGATGTCAGCCCTATCTTTTATACTTTCTTTAATTTTGTAGCACTCAGCAGACACCAATAAGTGTGATTGCTTCTGCTTAGGCCACTCTGTAGTCTCCCCTTTTAAATTAAAAAGTTCCTCTGGGGGAGAGCCTGACTTTCAGCACCAGTAGGGGAAGGAACACTAGCCCCACAGCTAAAATTCCCAAGATTCAAGCTCTCCTCTGTCACTCACAGCCTGTGTGATCCTGCACAGCATCTCTGCCTGTCTCTCCAGCTTCATCTTCTCATATTTAAAGGGGCGACATCATCTGTGCTTGTCATAGAGCAAAGACTTCCCTGGCAGTCCAGTAGTTAAGACTCTGCAATTGCACTGTAGGGGGCACGGGTTCGATTCTTGGTGGGGGAACCAAGATCCTGCAGGCAGTGCAGTGTGCCCCCCACCCCCAACCCAAGAAAAATGTTGTTACTTAACAGGTAAACCCTAACAGACAAAAACTACCGGGAACACACCTGTAGTCCAACAAAGAGGTTAACTGGCAGCAGGGGAGGCCACATGGGGGAGGAAGGTGGGCATCTTGGAAAAGGGAGTAGGGAGGGGCTTCTCACAGGACTGAAGCTCTTTTTGGATAACAGCACAAGCAGATGGAAGACCAGCTCTGGGTTGGGTGCTGTCATGAGGTGCAGCAGTTTAGCAAGTGGGTATCTTATAAATCTTTGGGAGCTCAGGTAACAGGGAAGAGCCAAGTCTGACTCCATGTTAGATCTGATTCTTTGACTCCTAACTGTTGTTCTTAATCTGCATACNATTGCTCTTGTTATTATAATCATACATTATGGCCTGCCTCAGGGAACCCTGCCCTCTGCCCAAAGTTAAACTAAAGTGGCTTTGTTCCGCTCACTGGGAGACCATCTGACCATGCCCACCTGTCAATGGCTGCAAGAAAAAAAGCGATTAACAGAGCCCCTCCTATTTTGCAAGATAGAGCTACTTCCTCACCTCCTGTCTCTCCCTGTTCTATAAAAGAAACTGGCATCCAGGACCCCATAGGATGGTGTTTCAGGGACCTAGTCTGCTACCACGTCGGTCCACAGGTGATACTTTCCTATTCCTGGCCTCTACACCTCATCTCTCTGTTTATTAGCCTGTCGTCAGCAAGCAGATCGAGCTTGGACTCCGTAATGGAGGGAGAAATGAAGCCGGGCTGGGCAAGTCATTAGTAAAAATGTTGCATTTTCTCAAAAGGGGATTGTCAGTCATTTTGCAACCATGCTGTGGCCTTGAGGGAAGCATTGTTTTCAGTTGGCTTTGCTACTGTCCTTGTTTGTGTCTGTTGGGTACATTGTGGTCTGATTATCAGTGGGATGGATTTTCACTTTCTCAAGGTAAAGAGATTACGTAAAAAAGCAAATTTAAGGGCTTATGAAAAACTGCTCAGGATTTAGTATGCAGCATCTGAGTGGACCGGGAGCATAAACGGGGAGGTAAGAGTAAATACTTTTTAATTTTCCTAGTTTTAGAAATAACTCTTTAAAGCTGGGATATTTTCGACAGCTTTTATTATTCAGTATCTATGAAAACTGTCGTGTGAAGCACACTGTTAAGGCTTTTACATGAACTTTAAGTTTCACAACCATCTTCAGAGATGTGCTTCAGAGAGGTGTGGTTAGTGGTTCAGTCGTGTCCGATTCTTTGCGACCCCATGGACTGTGGCCCGCCAGATTCCTGTCCATTCGGATTCTCTCAGCAAGAATACTGGAGAGGTTTGCCATGCCCTCCTTCAAGGGATCTTCCCAACCCAGGGATCTTCTCGACCCAGGGACCGAAGCCAGGTCTCTCCAGTTTGCAGGCGGATTCTTTACCATCTGAGCTACCAGGGAAGACTCTCTGGGGAGTAGGTCCTGTTATTATTTTTAAATTTTTTATTTTACAGACGGAGAGGAGGAACACTAAGAGGTAAGTTAACTGACTCAAAACTACATTGTTAGGAATGAGAGATGGCCAGAGGTTAAGGGAGACAAGCCGACTGCATAGCCTTTGCTTAGCCACCTTGCTCTTCTCTTGGGTTGAGAGATCACACCTCTAACGGGAAGAACAGGAGAGAACATTTGTTAAGTGTTCAGTCTGGGAAAAAAAAAAAAAAAAGGTGTTCAGTCTGGGCAGGCACTAAAAGCTCAGTGAATTGCCAGATATATAAAGCCTACTCGGACAAGGAGACTGAGGCTAGAGATAATGGGTATCCTGTCGAAGTTCGTACAGTTACGTTAACTGGTAGAACCAGCAAAGTCTGGATTCAAACCCAGGACCCCCCGACCCCAACCCCAGTTCTGCCTCTCCACTGCACCAGCCTCTGCTGGGAAGGACTCCTCCAGGTGAGTGCCCTTGAAATGAGGACTTTGGTTCCCTAGGCGAGGAACCTGGGGGCAGTAGGTGGGGCGGGGGGGGTGGTCCCCTACCTGGGGGAGCCCGCCCTCGCCCCGCCCCTCCCGGGCGGAGCCGCCTCGTCCACCAATCAGGGCTCTGGGGGCGGGCCGGGGGAGCGCTCGGGCCCCGGCCCCGCAGTTCGAGCGGCGAGAGCGCTTGTCGACGCGACGCCGGGGCCGAGGGGAGCGAGCCGGCGCTTCAGTGTCCTTCCCCTCCCCACCCGTCGCCTGGCCGCCTTCTCGCCGCGGCCGGACCGGAATTATGTGATCCCGGAAGTTCCGGCGCCATTGCTGTGTGGGATAAACAGTAATGGCGGAGGCTGCAGCTCCCGGAACAACAGCCACACCATCAGGAGCAGCAGCGGCGGCGGCGGCAGCGGCCTCCCCCACCCCTATCCCCGCAGTCACCTCGCTGTCCCCGGGGGCGGGGGGCGGGGGAGGCGGCAGCGACGGCGGCGGCGGCGGCGGCTGACGGCGCGCGCGGGGAGAAAGGTGGGCTGACTCCTCCCTCCTTTATTGTCGCCGATCCCCCCACCCCAACCCCTGGCCTGCGAACTCGCCGGTTCCAAAAGGGGGTTTGGCGGTGTGGCCCGGAGCCCGCATCCCCACAGCCCTGCCGGGCCGGGGATCGCCGCCACCGGCCTGCGGGCGAGAAGGGGGGCCCGACCGCCGGCCCCGCCGCGGTGTCATCCGTTTGTAACGTCTTCCCGGGTCTCTCGGGCCCCGCCCGGAGCGGGGACCTTTTGTGATTTCTCCTCTTGAGTGTTACCGGGCTGGGCGGTTCTGAGCTTTGTCTCCGAACCGAGTGCCGGCCCGGGGGGTCCTCTCCACCACCTTAGGTGTTTACGAACTGGCATTCCCTTTCCCCCCACCCTGGCTGGAAGGTGTCTTGTTTTCAAGTCCACGCGTCTTAAGGGAGTCGGGGAGCTCGTCGCTCCGCAGGGAGACTGATTTTGTTTGGGGTTTGGGATGTCAGATGAACATATTTGAAAAAAATAAGTGATTAGTAGAGGACGGTTATGCGGACGTGTGGCTGTGCGTCTAAGATAAGGGCATTTAATTGGATGTCGTACTTGAGTTTTTTCCTTAAGTGATCAGTAAGCGACTAGAAGCTTTTGCTTTTCTGTCGGTTGAAAAATCAGTTGAAACGCCGTTATTCACCTGGGGGGGGGGTAATTTATATGCAGATATCAGTACTTCAAAATATTTTTTAATATACAGAACTCACTGTCCTGGTATTAACAGGGGTGAAACGTTCTCAGTGCTTAATATGATACATTTAAGATAAGACATGAATGGTAAGCTTAATTATTTTCAATAACGGGATAGAGAAAGCATAAAAGCTGTTTCAGGTAGTTTTTTTCAGTCATCTGTAGATCTGAGAATATTGTGCAGTATCTATCCCAAAGAATGAGAATTTAAAAATTCCTACTCATGGAACCAGGTCATTGAGTCTGTTATTTCCATTTTCTCTGCAGTGCTGCAATTGCTTTATATGTGCTAGCTGAATCTTTTAAAATAAACTAGTGTAACCTTTATATTCCTGAATTTTCTAGCCTTTTACCCTGCAGTTCCAATCTGTCTGCATGCACTGAGAATAATCGTCCTTTAATATGTGGATTCTTTAAGAACTCCATGCAGTGTCTTAATTTTATCAGTACACACCGACTCTAATCTCCGTTATTGTTTGGCTTTGAATACCCATCACTAGCTTGACATTACTTTATATTACTTGTCTCATTATTATCCTGTTGTGTCTGTGCCTGAGCTCAAGCTCAACTCTGTGTCTGCAGAGAAAGCATTGTCACTTCTGCACTTTACTTTCCTCTGTTAGAAACTTTCCCCTGCTCTACTTCTCCTTTTCTAGTTCCTTACCAGTGTCATCAGAATTCAAAACAGCTCACTAGACTGATCAGTTCCTCTTTGCCTACCTATCTTTGAGTTTCTGAAATATTCTAGATCACCCCAGGACCAGCATGAGTTTCTTGCACATGAACCCTAATAGATTAATATATTTAAGAAATTTACATCATCGAGTAAGCTATTTCTAATAAGCATTTTGTATCAGATACAGGGTTAGTTAGACACGCTGTTGTTGTTTTTTCATATAAAGCAACCTATAGCTTTTACTTGAAACTGTTATCCAGTAAAAAATACAGACTAATTGATGTCTTGGGTTTTAATACTTGACATTACTTTCAGTTTGTTTTAAGTACTAACATGAACTATTAAAAATCTTTCTGCTTTGTCTAGGGGAATACCACATATATATTCATTCATTTATTGTAAACTTTGAGCTTTTTGAGAACAGGGCCTTATTTTGTTTATCATTGTTTCTGTAGGGCTTTATTCGGTGCCTGGTATGTGTATCTTTCTGGGACTAACCTCATTCAGTTATTCTGTAAATAAGTATTTGTGCTTACAATGGGAGACATAGAGCTAGATGTTGAAGAAAAGGCAGGAATGTATTGTATTATAAATATTTGCTTTGTGTTTGATAGCAAACTCTCCTTTGAAGAGAATTCAAGATAGTGCTGTGTTCTAGTTTGAACCCCTTTTCCCCCTGTATCTAGAAATTTGACTAGGGCCATTTTCTTCAAGGGTATAATCCTTAGAAGTTGTTTGGATGTTGGAAATTTGTTTTTAATTGCTCAGAATCCTCTGCATTTTCTTGTTGGTTAGTCTTTTCTAAATATTTCTCTTAAAAATTCTCTCATTAAAAAAAAAATCTATCTCATTGTGTTACTTGAACAGCTTAAAAACCTAGACATAGTTTTCCCAAAGAACTGTGTTATGCTGCCCCCACCAGGCTGTTCTGATGACTTATTAGAGGAGTTCTGTAAAATAGAAATGCTATTGCTTCTAGTTTTCCTGAGTGTGGGGTATTAAAACAATGAAATTGTTTACAACTTGCAAGTTGTAATTTTGAATTTAGACACTGCTAAGTATTATTTGTACATGTCCTCTAGAAGATAAAAGGCAGAATAAACTCTGGTTCTTAAACACCAGGAATTTACAGTCTGGTTTGAGAAATGGGGAAGCCCAGGGTACATGTACTTGTCAAGAATTAAGTAACAAAGTAAGAAATGTCACAGCAGATTAAGTGATTAACTGCCAACTTACTTAATATTCTGTAATTTCTATTAACAATCCCAGATGCCTACCTATCAGTACTTTGAGGGTCTTGTTTGGTTCTCTTGTACCCTCACAAGCTTTTGGGGTTTCTTGTATGTAAAAGTGCTTAGGTATCCAAGAGGTACAGCAGTCAGGGATTCTAGTCAGTTGTATTTGTCTTTATTACCGGACAATGTCTGGTTGGCATCATGGAATCTTCAAGGCGGAAGGATGCTTAGAAATCCTGTGGCCTAGCCTTTAACAACAAAGGCAAGCTCAGCCTGGACAATATCAAGATGAATTTGGTGATGGCTTTTGGCGGTGGCATTTAAAAAAGAAAAGTGCTTGTGTCTTGATTGGTTTTGTAACGGGAGAAATTCTTGGAAGAGTTGACATATTTTCCTCTTTCTGTTGTAACTTACATAGTCTCTTACATAGTCATGTCATAGTCTCTTAGACTTAGAGATGGGTTGGCAAGGAGGGATATCACTGTGAAGACTGAGAGAAAAAAGGCACGAAAAACAAACCAGAAACCCAGACGGTATGTACCAAACGCCCCTGTAAAATGATGCTTAGTATTTGGCAGTAACTAGTTAGGACTTGTATTCTAGGGTTTCCCTTGATGTCACAGTATCGGGCGATTTTGTGTCTGCTTGAGTTCTTCAGTGCTGCTAGTTCTGGATCACAGGAACTTATGCCATTGCTGAATAGTTCTAGTTCTCAGTCCTTACATTAAATCACATTTATGATGTAACTTCCCACATGCATTTACTTTGCCAGGAATAGTGCTGGAGGTGACTCCTTTGTCTTCTCCTGGCTAAATTACTCCAGTTGCGTAAAATCGTACGGCTTGACATCCAGGTCTTCTTTCCCTGTTGGCTGCCTTAGTCTTTCTTAACTGATTGATTAAATGTGTACCTTGGAAACAAATGTAGTCAGGGTGTTTGCCTGCAGGGACAGAGGAGAGATGTGGAAATGAACATGAGTACCAGCAAAGACGTTATACAATTGCTACTTCCTGAACACATGCCCTTGTTTTTTTTAAGTTTTAAATCTCAGGGGAAACTAATATTTGTGTAGGTGGTGCTCAGACAGCTTCAAAGCTTGCAGAAAGTTGCCCTATAGTTGTGCAGAAGTTCAGACCTTGTTAGATTGTTAAGCCTGAAAAAGGTTGAAATTAGGTTAATTACAATTAGAATTTGACTTCCTGCTGCTGTAGTCTTATATTTCAGTATGGACTGAAACCCTTGCGTACTTTAGGATCTTGCTAATTACAGCTCTTCCTATCAAGATGTTACATTTTTTTCTTTCTGTCTTTACATAGAAGGTTTATATTTGCCAGTAATCTGAATAGAAGCTTTCACATTTCAGTTTGAAGCAGTCTTCTTCAAGGCTCCTTTAAGTAAATATGACTGAATCTCTTTTCTATACATCATTCAATCCAGTGGACCGACTCTTGTGATCCCATGGACTGTAGCCTACGAGGCTCCTCTGTCATTTGATTTTCCTGGCAAAAATACTGGAATGGGTTGCCATTTCCTACTCCAGGCAAGGTATCTTCCTGATCCAGGTGTCTCCTTCATTGGCAGACTTCATTGGCAGGTGGATGCCTTACCACTTACCAGTGAGCCACATGGGAAGCGCATCCCAGCTGCACATAAATGCACATTTGGGGCAGTTATGACTTGCCAAAATTAAATCTTCATAATTCTATTTAAGAGAAAGAGACCAAAGTCAGTGATGAGATGATGAGAGGGAAGATGGAGGGGTTGGTGGTGGTTCTACTTATCAGTTATCTACAAAAAATAAGACCCTTATCACTTCCCTGATCCGCCTAGTTACTTCAGATTTCTTCTTGGCCCTGGCCCCATTTTCAGTTTAGTAGGTCTAAGGGAAGGTGTCCAAAATTGCATTTCTAGCTGAAGCTCCAGTACTTTGGCCACCTGATGCTAAGAGCTGAGTCATTGGAAAAGACCCTGATGCCAGGAAAGATGGAAGACAAAAGAAGGGGATGGCAGAGGATGAGATGTTTAGATGGCATTATCGACTCAATGGATGTGAATTTGAGCAAACTGCGGGAGATAGTGGAAGACAAGGGAGCCTGGTGTGCTGCAGTCCACAGGGTCACAGAGTTGGACACGACTTAGTGACAGAACAACAACAAAGCAAACTCCCAAGTCTTCTTAGAAACGGAGTCAAACTCAGTTTTTGGAAATTTCTACTTAGCTACACATGTTCTCCTGTAAGGCAGAGGAACAAGAGTCTGTAAATGAAGGACAGAAAGTGATTTCCCTTTGCTCATACCTTTGCAACAAATGTTACTTGTGTTCTCACATGTGACTTTTAAAGAATTAAAATGGTTTCTCGAAGAATTGAAACATACAGTAGTCTGATCTGTTCCAGTTTACACTATTTCTTTCTTTCTTTCTTTTTTTTTTTTTTACAGATAAAGCTGCAGATAAAGAGTATGACTAAAGTTAGTGGAAAACGAGAAGCTGTAAATTGTAGGACTGTAAATTGAGAGCAGTGGTTAGACAACCTGTAGAGACAAGATTAAGGATGACCTCCGAGTTTAAATCTAAATTGGTGCCTCTGTCTACAGGCAGCCTTCCTGTGGTACCATTATAGATAATTTTATGATCATATGGTGTAGTTCAACTATCTTTGTGTTCACTTCTCATATTTGTGTACAAAGAATATAAAAGAATATATTACTAGTATAGAGTTAGTGCTCGTGTGTTAGTGGTAGAATATATTGGCCATGGGGACTTACCAGTGGATAAGACTCCATGCTTCCAATGCAGGGGGCCCGGGTTCAATCCCTGGTTGGTGAACTAAGATCTCTCATGCCAGATCTAAGCCCGCACACTGCACCAAAGACCCAGTGCAACCAAAATACATAGTAATAATAATAAAAAAGAATGTGTCAGTCATGAATTGAGTACTGCCTTGTAATCCAACTTGTGGTTCTTTGTCTCACAGGTATTTCATGCATGGGGTTTGTAAGGAAGGAGATAACTGTCGCTACTCACACGACCTCTCTGACAGTCCATATGGTGTAGTGTGCAAGTATTTTCAACGAGGGTATTGTATTTATGGAGACCGCTGCAGGTAAGAGTTTGTTTCAAATTTAGTTTTGTTCGGGGTGGGTGGAGAGGTTGGGAGAAAAAACTGAGTAAAACATGAAATTTCCAACAGCTTTGTAAATAATCGATTTATAAAGTAATACTGATGTGTGGCTGGTAGGATCTTAGTTCTCTGACCAGGGATTGAATGTGGGCCATGGCAGTGAAAGCACTAAGTCCTAACCACAGGACTGTCGGAGAATTCCCTGAAGAGTACTTTAAAAAGTGCTCCTTAGGAATGTTAGCACATTCTGACAGATAGATCTCTCATCTCTCCAATCTCTCACTTGGAAAGAATGTATTATTACATTTACAAGATGCGTTTATAATATAGTCCTAAGTTTAAGTAGTGCCTGAGGAGCATGTTGGGCAAACCTAGGGATAAGGCGTGGTGAAGGCGTGTTTGTTAATGGTATTTCCTTTTCAAGACCAAGAATAAGGTGCATGTTTGACCAGTTGGGACTGGTTTCAGTTCTCTATTAGATTGAATTATGGAGAGAAAATGGGATCATAGGCATTTGGGATAGTGTATTAGGTTACTAAAGAGGTCTTGTCATTCCAACTAAACTTCCCTAAACCACCTGAGCTTGCAAGACTAAATTATAAGCTGACATTATGGAAAATGCTTTAGCAGTGTCTGGCTTCCTAGAATGGTGGAGAACAAGAGAGGTCAGCTACTAAGTACTTTATCCTTCATTGAATTGGCACCATAGTCTTATCAAACTGTAATTCAGCAGCAGTGGGTTCTGCTAGCCATTGGGTAGAGCTAGTTTACAAAATACCTAGGAGTATTAGTTTTCTATTGATGTTAAAGAAATTACCCTGAAATTTAGCAGCTTGGAAACAGGAAATATTTATTATCTCATGGTTGCTGGGGTCTGGAATCTGGGAGTGGCTTAGCTTCGTGAGTAGTCCTAGCTCAGGCTCTCAAGAAATTGCAGCCAAGATTTCAGCCGGGCTGCCAGCATCTGCCATCCTCTGCAAGTCTTGAATGGGGGCTGGCGGATCACTTTGAAGATGGCTCATTCATATATCTTAGTCTCTTGCCTGGTGGACATTTCCCTCGGGCTGTGTTAGTGTCCTCACATTAACCTGTGCCCCAGAGTAAGTGATTGAAGAGAGACCTCAGGGACGAGGCAACAGTGCCTTTTTATGACCTAGTCTCAGAAGTCGCAGGCTGTCACTTCCACTATATTCTGTTTGTTACAAGCGAGTCACTAAGTCCAGTGCATGTACAAGGGGAAAGAAATTGGGTTCTACCTGTTGAAGGGAGGACCATCACTAGAAAAGATACTTTGACAATGTCGTATCCAGTTTAGGAGAAAAGAATTGTGTCAGCTATTGGGGTTCAAATGCTTGGAGTTCAAAAGACTAAGAAATTATTGATGAGCAGGATATTGATGTTAGGTTTACCTCACATCTTTTTTACTAGGAAATCTAGTTAAGAGAGAAAAAGGAAAAAGATTCTTTCCATGTGGTCCGTCATTTCGCCCTCTGCTAAATTTTTGCAGTTTTGCTGGAAAGGAAAAAAATGATACAATGACACTCCCCCCAAATAAAAAAAACTAAAACTAAATAACCCAGATATGTCTTTTGTAGTCACAATATTAAAGAGGGCAAAAGTTGGAAATCCGTCCTACCGGAAATGAGCAATTGCTCCTTTGTAGTAGGACGGTCCAACTTAATTGAAGGGCAGTTGTGTTCCTTGACTAGGCAGTCAGTTGAGAGACCTTATTGACTGCAGAGAGAGAGGAGTTGAACATGGGTGAGAGTGGAGATGGACTCTGAGGTGCTGAGCAGAGAGATAGAGTATAGACTGTGGATGAGTATGGTTGGTAACAGATGAACCTCTTATTTCAGAAGAGGTGCCTCTCCAGTTGGACCGTACAGCTGAAATGTTTGGGAAATAAGGTTAAACTGAAGAAATCTGAGCTGAATCCTAGATTCTCTTGTGTTAAATCAGCTTATTTTTCAGGGACTTCTGCCAGCCCCAGCAGCATTCCACGTTCTCCTTGGGACAACAGTATAGAAGCCCAGCTTTTGCATAACCCTGTATTCAGAGTGGGCCTCCTCATGGGAGACAATTTTAGTTTTCTTTTTAAAGGGTATACAGCTCCCTTTTAGGGAGAATGATCCTGATTTGAGCTGGCTTTAGAATTCTTAGGATAAAGTGAAAGGAATTAGAGAAACCTATATCCTAATAGTCTGCCTGAGAGGAAAGTTTGGTGACAGTTGTTTGGAACTGGCTGATAGAGGTGATTATTAAGAGCTTGATTATAGAGTAGCTAAGGAAGGAGTCTTATGGGCTTGTTCCAAGACTGTTTCCTTGTTAAAAATAGACTTGGGGGATTAAGCCTACTTTTCACTCTTACTATGTAGGGTTTGGGGTTTTTTTTTGAGAAACATAACATTTTAATAGATGAAATAAATACTCTAGTACATGCAAGGTAAAAACTTGACATTGGAGGTGGGGGAAATATCTCTTATGTAGGGATCTTGTTATACAGCCTGACCAATGTCCAGGGATTTCAAATAATTTAACTCCTCATAAAGGCAGTAGTTTATAAATGAAAGATGATACCCTAGTTCCAGCAGCTCAGAAATGTTGCTGTATTCATTTTGTATGACGGGGCCCTGTTATTTAAGTGAGCCCAGTTCTTTGTTGCTCAGGACTGTTGTCTAAGATCTAGCATCCCTGTAGCAAGTGCCACAGAACTCCCAGTCATTGTTTCTAAATACCCACTTGGGAAAGGGACAGGATTGCCTTCTTTGACAACTATGGTTATGGTTGATTTGGAGGGTTTTTTGTTTGTTTTGACTGCACAGCATGAGAGATCTTAGTTCCCCTACCAAGGATTGAACCCTTGCTCCCTACAGTGGAAGTGTGGAGTCCTAACCATTGGACTGCCAGGGAATTCCCCTTTGGAGGAGTTTTCACTGTAGACCTACTGAATCCTATACATGAAAAGCGTAAAAGGCAGATATCAAACCTCATAAGGGTGGGGTGGTGGGCGTTGCAAGCCAACAAGATGGAGAAGTGTGGTTCTTTTGTGTAGAAGAAAAATTAAACTTCCTTCGCTGGAAACTGTATCAGAGTACTCTTTGCAAGATATGAAAGGAAAACACAATATTGGTTTCAATGTTGTCTCGACATTTATCCCCCATTGGCTAAAAAGGATCAGTGATTCTGTGATAATTCATTAAAGAATTAATTTAATAATGTTAACAAAGCCACTGTCATGACAGTGAATCCAGTAGATATGATTAGCCGGGGCTGGCAGACTTTCAGTATGGGGCCAGAGAATTAGTATTTTTAGCTAAGCAGGCCATATGGTCTCTTGTAGCACAAAAACAACCCTACATAATACATAAGCTAATAGTGTGGCTAGGTTCCAATGAAAATTTTATTTTGGGACACTGAAATTTAATTTCATGTCATGAGATGATTTTTTTCCCCAACATTTAAAAATGTCAAAACCATTCCTAGCTCCAGTTGGGTTTGACCTGAGGCCTGTAGTTGGCCAGTTCCTATTTTAAAAGTTCTCTGCTTCACTGAACCATTAGCTTTTAGCAAATTCCTTTCAGGATAGGAGTCTTGCTTTTTCTTTCTTATTAGTTCTTTCTTGTGCTCTATCTTTCATGGTGCTTACTTAACAAATTTTTACTTCAGAAGTATATTTTATACAGATCTATTCTGCACTGTTCACAAATATGAACCTTCTTGCTAATATTCTATGCTATCAAAAATATTATACCTTGTTGATTCCTTGATAAATTTACCTTAAAAACAAAATGCAGTCCTTTCAGAAAACTTGTAGTGGGACTTGCTAGTGGTCCAGTGTCAAAGGCTTCACACTCCCAATGCAGGGGGTTCCTGGTTAGGGAACTAGTCCCCACAAGCTGCAGCTAAGACCCAGCTCAGCCAAATAAATATAAAAAAACCCAGCTTTGACATATGTGCCATTTGATAGATGATGATGAGCATTCTAATTCTGTTTTTTAAGTAGATATTTGAGTCATTTAATCTGAAATTCTTCAAATTAATATGGCAAAGGAGAAAGAACAGAAACTAAAATATGGGCATTGAAACTAGTTCTTGGACCCTTTACGCATCTTGAGATTTAGTTTTACTTAATCCTTTAAAATTTCCTGAAGGCTGTATTCATTGGTGAAGCTGGCATCTTAATTCCAAAACCTGGGTTCTTTTCTAAGTTAAAGACTACGAAAGTAATTGAACTGTGAGGACTGGGGACTAGATTTCTAAGGTTCCCGAAATCTCTAAAACCTCAGAGGAATGCTGTTCAGTAGAACTTTTTGATAGCATGAATGCTTTCTATCTGCTGCCCAAAGAAGAAACTGCTAGCTCCGTGTGACCACTGAACACTTGAAACTGTAGCTAGTGCAAGGACCAATGCACTGAGTTTTGAGTGTAAGTATAAATAATTAGATACAGCTAATGGCTGCTGTTTTACAGGGCAGCTTTAGAGTCACATTAGAGCTAGAACACTGCTTAACACATCATCTCTAATACATTTTTGATGATGAAGTGAGACTGTCCAAGTGAAAAAGCATATTCATGATCTTTAGCTTGCATAATTCCAGCCTTGAATAAAATGCACTGGGTTTTTGTGGCTGATACCAGGATTCTCAAAGTAGGTTACCTAATGCTTAAGAGTTGAAATAGGAGGGTTTGAGATAATATAATGATAAAAGTCAGCTCAGCAAATGTTTGCCATGTTAAAGAGCAGTCTTCAGTTAGAATGTTTTATCTTTTAGATGTAAACACAGACACTTGTAACACAGATGACCCATGGTTAGTGTTGCCAGTGAGTTAATTAGTCAGGAACCGCTAGATACATACTATACATTATAGCAGTTTATGGATTGAGTTAGCCAAAAAGTTGGTTCAGGTTTTTCTGTAAGATGCTATGGAAAAACCGAGATGAACTTGGCCAACCCAATACTACGTTCATCATTAATTGTGTGTGTCTGAGTGAATCTCACAGCCTAAAGTATTCGAAGAATTGTGAGGATTTTCTCAAGCAGCAAGGTGCTTCTTGAGGGAAATTTTTTTCTGTATTTGGAGATGAGGTTCAATAATTTCACAGATGACAAGGAATCGGGAAATGTACAGGGTGAGAGTTCAGAAAAGTAGGTGAGTGGATGGATGTAGGCGAAAAGGAAAACACATTGTATATTTTATAAATACTGTTTCTCCCTTTTAATATTGGGAGCATTTTAATTTATGTGTTGGTAAAATGGTCCACATTTTTACTTGTCGGATTAGAGTGTCAACCTTGCTTTGCTTAGTCAGTCAGTTTTGGCTGCATAGTCTTTTTTTTTTAGTGGAGTTGCCATGGTAACGATAGATTGTCAGCTCCTGAAACTCCTAATGAGAGTGCAGTTTGAGGGGTAATAGATGGTCTACAGCAGGGGTGGGTGAACTATGGCCTGTAGAGTACGTGTAACTGGATGTTGTTTATGTAAAGTTTTATTGGAACACAAGTCAAACGCACAGCTGTTTAGATAATGCCATGGCTGCTTTGGAACTACAGTTACAGACTTAAATGGTTGTGACATTGGTGGTTTGACCTGCAGAGCCCTGAATCTGTATGACCTTGCTACTCAAACTGGTCCCTGGACCAGTGGCATTGGCATCATGCGGGGACTTGTCAGAGACATGCAAAATTAGGGGCTATACTCCAGACTCAGAAATTAGGTATCTGCCTTTTAACAATTTCCCACATGATTCATAGGCATAGTAATTTGAAAAGAACCCAAGGACAGGATTGGGAATGTATATTCCATCTAGATGCTTCTGGTTAGACAGTGATGGCTGACTTTGTAAATTTTCTTTTCTTGTTAAGATATGAACATAGCAAGCCGCTGAAACAGGAAGAAGCAACTGCGACAGATCTAACTGCAAAGTCATCCCTTGCTGCTTCCTCGAGTCTCTCATCAGTTGGACCGACTGTTGATATGAATATGGGCGAAGCTGAGTCAAGAAATTCAAACTTTGCAACTAGCTGAAGCCCCGCTGCAGGGCTCAGTGACCAGGGAAGACGCAGAGAAGGAGCAAAGCGCAGTGGAGACCAAGAAGCAGCTCTGCCCCTATGCTGCGGTGGGGGAGTGCCGCTACGGGGAGAACTGCGCGTATCTGCACGGGGACGCATGTGACATGTGCGGGCTGCAGGTCCTCCATCCCGTGGATGCCGCCCAGAGGTCACAGCATATAAAAGTAAGTCGGAAGGAAGCTCGCACGCTAACAGGTGTGAGAAATGTCTGCCTTTCACAGCACTGTCAGCTCATGTCAAAGAGACATTGGGTGAATCAAATGGTTCTCTTTAAGTAGGAGTGTTTCCCTTCCTGGCCTTCTTGACTGTTTTATCAGTAATTAGGCTTTTAGAACCTCAGATTATGGGCTCCCCCCCCTTTTTCTTTCCTTTTTTTAAAACAATGGTTTTTCTGAAATTCAAGTTCTACACAGCTTACTCTTCTAAAATGTGTATTTCATTGGTTTTTAATACACTTGCATAGTTGTTCAACCATGACCACTGTTCTCTAATTTAGGACATTTTCATTCTCCCCAGAAAAGAGACTTAATACTCATTAACTCCTTTAGTCTTCATTCTACCCTTCCTCCAGCTCCTGGCAACAACTCATTTACTTTGTGTCTCCATGAATTTTTTTGTTTGTTATGGGAATTTCCTATGAATGGAATCATATGTGGCCTTTTGTGACTGGCTAAAACAGTAGCATAATGTTTTCAGGATTTGTTCATGTTTTAGTGTGTATCCGTACTTTAGTCCTTTTCATGGCTGCATAGTAATCCTCTGGATGGCTGTGTGACATTTTGTTTTTGCATTTGGGTTGTTTTACCTTTTCCCCATTAAGAATAATCCCCTGAACACTCATGTATAAAGTTTTGTGGATGTACACTTTAATTACCTTAAAATAAGATTGCTAGGTCATATGGTAACTCTGTGCTTAATATTTTGAGCAACTTTTTCCCAGTGACTGTACCATTTTACATTCTCAGTAGTAGTGTATGACAGTTTCAGACTATGGTTTTAAGCCCATTTGCGTCTTTTTTTGTTTGTTTGTGAGCATACTGTATTACAAACCTGATTAGAGGAAATTTTGCTTCTAATCATAGTCATCTCTGTTTAATAAAAATTAATTGGGTTGTGAGGGTGGGGGTGAAGCATGGTATAATAACCAGCATGTTTTTTATAGAATAAAATATGTGTAGTATAATGTTATGTCAATTATACCTCATTTAAAATTAAAAGTATGTGATGTCCACACCGAAATGTGTACATGAATGTTCATAGCATTATTCATAATGGCTCCAGAGTGGAAACAACCAAAGTATCTGTCATCTGATGAATGGAAAAACTAACTGGTCTCTCCATACGATGGAATATTACCCAATAAAAAGAAATGAGTCATATATTCTACAACATAGATAACCTTGAAAATGTAGTCAAGTGAGCAAAACCAGTCACAAACGACCACATAGTTTTTATGAAACGCCCTGAATAAGCATATCCACAGATTGTCATTGCCTAGGACTGAGGGTGTTGAGGGGAAGTGGCTACTATGGATTTGGAGTTTCTCTGGGGTAATGAAAATGTCCCGATACAGACTGAGGTGATGTTTGTACAACTCTGCATGTACCGAAAACCATTTCATTGTATACTTTGAGTGAATGCATTATATAGTATGAAATTATATGTCTCAATACTGTTTTATTTTGAATGTGAAACTTGCATGCCTGGCACATAATTGTCATCTAATGAATGTTAGTTTCCTTCACTCTTATTTTCTGACAGGTGGCAAACTAGAGTCTTAATCCTAATTACATTTTCCATCTAGAAACAAAGTACATCAACAAACAGTATGAAAAACAGCCTGTAATGTGGGTAACAAAGGTTGAGTTGCAGGATAGAGAAAACTAGGTAATTCTTTAGTTCTTGAAGTTGAGTCCTCAGAGTTTGACTTGACAGTATCGTGAAGTCCCACCTGTACCGCCTGGTGAACAAAGCTGTTTCTGATGTCATGTTGGGAACAATTCTCTTTTCCATTGGCTGTTTGACTCTCTGAACAGGAGTTCTTAGCGGTCTATCAATTCCACGACCTGACTGCCCCTCTCTGTCCACTCTCTAGTCCTGCATCGAGGCCCACGAGAAGGACATGGAGCTCTCGTTCGCGGTGCAGCGCAGCAAGGACATGGTGTGTGGCATCTGCATGGAGGTGGTCTATGAGAAAGCCAGCCCCAGCGAGCGCCGCTTCGGGATTCTTTCCAACTGCAACCACACCTACTGTCTCAAGTGTATTCGCAAGTGGAGGAGTGCTAAGCAATTTGAGAGCAAGATCATAAAGTGAGACTCCTCCCCAATCTTCGTTTGTGCTTTCTATTTTGGGGAAGAATTTTAGTATCTTGTGCCAACTTTCAGCCAGATGGACCGCATTTAAATGCATGCATTTTATCTTGAAACTGGGGTATTCTTCTAATTGGGAGTTCTTTGTATTTCAGCTAGCTTCTAGATTAGTTGGTATATCTACTTTTATTTGAACGAGGAAAACCCTATGTATCAGTTAGTAGAATCTTCGTGCTTTTTTCTGAGGAGATTGTGTTTAATGGATTAGCCAGTTTAGGGTCAGAGAAGCGTATCTAGCTCTGAATGTATGTTTCCTGGCATTTTACATTTTCCACTTTCCTATTCCATCCATTAAGCTAGCCAATAATCCACCATCCTTTAAAAATTGTTCTCATAACTGAACAAAAACTACATAATCTAAACAGAGCAAAGTTACAAGAAATAAATTTATTTAAACGAAAGAAAAAGGAGTCTGTGTGAAATGTCTTCTTTTTGTTGTTGTTTTTTTTAACCTAAAGTTATTTTTTTAAATGAACTGGCTAGCCATTGAGTTGAACTTGCGAAAAAAGGAAATGGTCAGTTGTGTGGAACCCTTGCAGGAAGTGCCCATTTGCCTTTCAGTTAAGTCTTTAAATCTGGAGTTGACACACCAGGGTGTGTCCTTGGAGAGTGGGCCTGTAAAGGGGAATTTGCATTGCAGCCTCTTCATTGTTTCCCAGGTCCTGCCCAGAATGCCGGATCACATCTAACTTTGTCATTCCAAGTGAGTACTGGGTGGAGGAGAAAGAAGAGAAGCAGAAACTCATTCAGAAATACAAGGAGGCAATGAGGTATGAGCACTGCAGCCTTTTCTCAAGCTCAGATCCCAACGTGTCGCTTGGGCTCACTTTGAAAAGAAACAGTGCTGCATTATACACTCCTACCTCCTTCCTACCCTTTCTTTTACTTCCCAGTACGGTTTGTCACCCCTGATGACGTTTACCCGGTGTGTATCTTGCTGTAACACAGCCCCTGGGGTGCACGCCCAGGGGCTGTGTTATAATGAAGCCTACACTGCTGGTATGGCTAACGCCCCAGGAATGGGGTCTGCCTTATCCCAAGTCTGTGTCATAGTTGTCCTACTGTATTCTTCTGTGTGGACCTTCTCGAAGGTTCTCTCTCTGCTGGATCTGCGATTCTAGGGCTGTTAAACTGCTCGACTTGAACAGTTTCTGGTTCTAGTCAGTGTTTTCATGCGGTAGCACACACATGTTTAAGAACACACCTTGGGGAGGGCTGTTAACAGACGTACCGGTTCTATTCCCTCCCCATTTTAAAGAAACCCTGGATGATAGTCAAATACAGACCTGAAATCCACCGTGAATAAGGGTTGCGATATTTTCCTTTCCAGCAACAAGGCATGCAGGTATTTTGATGAAGGCCGTGGGAGCTGCCCATTTGGAGGGAACTGTTTTTACAAGCATGCGTACCCTGATGGCCGTAGAGAGGAGCCACAGAGACAGAAAGTGGGAACATCAAGCAGATACCGGGTAACTCTCACTGTTCTTTTAAAGGAGGGGAAATGCCACACGCTGAGCCTGAGGCCCGCACAGATAGGGGCAGGGGAAAGTGAAGACCCAGGTCTAGGAGCGAGAGACTAGAGGATTAAAGGAGGAGACCAACCTCAGCAGACCGGGAGGGCTATGAGGAAAAGCTAGAACGCTTAAGGCTCTAGACTAAGCGGTGTGCCGAGTAACCAGCGGGGAGGCGTTGGTAAAAGTCGACCCTAACTCGGAAGTCTTGGTTCGTCATGCCCTCTGGTGTGCTGGACGTTTTGCCTTAGAAACCACAGACTAGAAGATGCTGCCCGGCAGTGCCACCCCTATCACGGCCTTGTTTTTTACAGGCCCAACGAAGGAACCACTTCTGGGAGCTCATCGAGGAACGCGAGAACAGCAACCCTTTTGACGACGAAGAGGAGGTTGTCACCTTTGAGCTGGGCGAGATGTTGCTTATGCTTTTGGCTGCAGGTGGGGACGACGACCTGACAGACTCTGAAGACGAGTGGGACTTGTTTCACGATGAGCTGGAAGATTTTTATGACTTGGATCTATAGCAGCTCGGCGGGGCGTGTGAACTGGTCTGCCGAGCCTAAGACGGCAGTGGGCCTCGGGGGGTGGCGGCCGTGCCCAGGCCGCTCTCCTAGGCAGGCCTCTCAACTCCAGGTGCTGTCGTAATCATTTTTACCCAGGGCCTGTCTTCTCACCCCCTCACCTTTCCCCAAGGAGTATGTTGTTTTCTCTGTTTGAAAAAGTTACAAAAATAAATCTGAAAGTTAGTTTTTTTGTAACATGAATTTAACTGTCAGACAGTTAGTGTAGGTTTGTCGCGTCACGTTTTACCACCAGATCCACACAGTTCGAGGGGAGCATACCTGGATTTCCAGGACTTATTTTGGAGGGCCCCAGGTTCAGAAGTACCCACACTGGCCCCTGCTTTGGGGGTCCAGGAAGCGGGGTGATGGGTGAAGGATCTGAACTGTAGCAAGTAGCCTCCTCCTGCTGTAGACTTGGGAGGCGGGTACTTGGTTTCTGGTAAAACCTGCACATGTGTGTTTTTCTGTCTGGTCCCTGTCCTTCATCCCCGCCCTGTGCACTCGGCCTGTGGTTTTGGTCTTTGTCTCATTGCACACAAGTAATAATACTACTGGGTAACCAGAACCAGGTGTGAATGTATTTGAGGTTTTTACCGTCTTTAGCGTGATAGGAAAATTGTGAAAGAACACATATAAAGAGATGGGAGTGGAAGAAAATAATTTAGAGTTGGAAGCTGACTCCCCAAGGCTCATGGACTTGGGATATGTGAGTGTGAGTGTGTGACAAGCTTCCCATCCCTGCATAGATGCAGTGTTTGTAGCCTTAGCAAAAAAACTTGGTTTAGTGGTTTCAGCCTCGTGTGGCAAATAGATCTTAAAGGACAAAGCAGTTTATTGGTAGCTGTTAATAGAGCAGTGATAGCTCTGTCTGTATAAATAGAGAAATGGGCTTAGCCATAGAAGTGCAAACTTTCTGGTTATCCCATGTATTAACACAACCTAGGGCATGGGTCCACAGTTGTGTTTAATGTTGTATGATCTCCTAGACTTCTCAGTCCAGGCACTTTCTGACAAACCTTTGTCCTCATTTGAGGCGTTTTTGGTCAGGTTTTTGTGTTCCTTTTTTGTGGGTATTTGCCTCATTCCATCCCCGAGCTTTGCAGCTAGACAGTGGGATTCAAAACTACGTTCTGAGCTGTTTCCTGTATAATGGAGTCATTGGTTGGCAGTATAGTAAGTCAGGCTTTTCCACTAAAAGGGGAAACAGAGGGTGGTTTCCACAAGATAAGCTAATGTTAAATTGTTAGAAGAATTCCTCGATCGGAAATTTTAGCTTTGCGTTTTGTTGCTATTTCCTGAAAATAACTTGGAGTTGCCCCGGATATGTCCATCGACTGCTCTGATGCCTCGGATATCACTCGTTCTTTTCACTTAAAGAAAAAAAGATAAAAACAAAACAGTAATTGTTGCAGAGGTCTCTGTATTTTGCAGCTTCCCTTTTGTAAGACGCACTTTTCCCAAATAAAACAATTTTTAAAACCCATGATTTGGCTTCCTGTTTTGTGTAATGGGCCATTCTGAAATGTGCAGATGTCAAAATGTTCTACTTGTTTCTTGCATCGCCTCTTGGATCAGTTCATCCACGAGTCAGATTTCTGTTGACATAGTTTTATTGAGAAAAGTTGACATCTCTCCTAAAATATCTAGCCTACTGAGAAATATTTGAGATATAGAGGACAACCTTACAAACTGTTTTGTATTTTAGAATTTGCAAGACTAACCCTTAGGCCTCCTTTCTTGGTCAGAGGCACTGTCGGTTTCTGCTGCCATCCTCTGGTTGTTGAACTTGCTTCGGATCCACAAATAATGGTGTTTTTGTTCCTAATTTTAATTATATACTTTCTTTTTTTGCCATGTCTTGGCCGCTCTTGGGATCCTAGTTCCATAACCAGGGATTGAACCTGAACCTTTAGCGGTGAAAGTGCGTAGTCCTAACCACGGGACTGCCAGGGAATTCCCTATGTGAATTTTTTTATTAATAAAAACCCACCACTCCCATGGAAGACCTTAAGTAACCTTTTACAGTGCTTATTTGTAAAATAGCTTAATATCTATAATTAAGAGTAAATAATTGTATTGCCTATGTTAATAATCCATGCAATTTGAAAATGTTTCCTCGTCTAGGAATTGTGTGATGGCAACTTAACTGTAGTCCTGATCGTAGCTGGAGATCCACTGAGGTCTGTTTCTGTAAGCTCCCTTCTGGTGGATCTTCAGCTGAAGCCGCTCTCTTCCCAGAGTACTTAGAATTCGTACTGATGAGGCCTTGCTGGGGACCACACATACTCCCAGAGGAGTGCTAGAGAGCCTCGGAGGTGAGGTGGAAGTGGTCAGGACCTAGGGAGGCAGAGAGAGACTTAAACCTCCAGTTTTTGGTGTCCAAAAAGTAGGAAGAGGCTCATTAGTAGCTGCCTTTTTGGCATGTTGGTCCATGGTGGGGAGAATGGCTTGGACATGACCCAGGTGGTGGTAACAGCTGGAGGTCAGGTGGGTTGATGTCTGAAGCAGCTTTTCTTTGTGTCTTTGTGGAAAAGATGGTGGGAATTTATGTATAAGCCAGCCCTTCATTCGTGTTGCTGCCCTGTCCCTGCCTGCACCGAGAGAGAACTTCTGTGTGCTTGTTAAAATGTTGGGGGAAATACTGCTGAAGGTGTGGGGGAGGGAGGAGGGATGCCATCAACAAAGGTATTTGTAGGCGGCCTTGGTTGTGCTCTTAGAATCAAGTCTGCTTTCTGGTGTGTGGTATGGTTGCAAAAGAGCATCTAACTATTTTGGGCTGGGGAAAGTGGAAGGGACACGATGTCATCTCCAGGTGAAACGTTTAAGATCCAGCCCATGGTTTTCCTCATTCTCTGATTTTCTAAGGTGATGGATAGTATTCCAAGGAAGTGGTGGTTCTGTCAGCTAGGGTCTCTCTATGAGGAGGAGAGGTGGAGTGGGACATTTGGCTCACTTCTAAGGGACATGGGACCCAGCTGTGTATAGGGGGAAGAGCTACTGAGACTTGGAGTGTTTGTGTTGTCACAGCATCATAGCCTGTCCCATGTTGATCTCATCTGTCTGTTTAAAGGAACTGTCATTTTATAAGGAAAACTAAATAAAAGATTGAGTATTTAAAATACTTTCCAGCACCTCTATTCTAGGAAATCAAGTAAACTGTAAATTGTAAGCTGATCAAGTAAATTGTACTGATGAACAAATATAATAAATGATCTTTTAAAATTGATACACAGGTGTACAGATATTAGTAGGAAATGCATTGTTACAAACTTTTTTGCCTACTCTTTGATAAGTATTACTAATGTGATATCTTTTCAAATAATGAGATTTTGTACTGACTTGTTGTTCAGTTGCTAACTTTATCTGACCCTTTGCAACCCCGTGGACCGCAGCATACCAGGCCTCCCTATCTCTCTCCTTCACCAACTACAGTGAGTGTTTCCTTTTGGCCATGCCAGGCAGCATGAGCGGGATCTTAGCTCCCCAACCAGAGATAAGACCTGTCCCAGCTGCCTTGGGAGTTGGGAGTGCAGAGTCCTAACCACTGGACCACCAGGGAAGTCCTGTGCTTTGTCAGAAGCCTACTTTAGTTAAATTGTTGCAAATTGGGCAGCTAGATGCCAAGTTTTTAAGTACTCCTCAAACACCTTTTCTGAGGGTTGTATAGGCTCCTGTAGGAAAGGGATTTAACCTCTAAGTGGGAAAAGAGTCTTTAAAATTTAACAACCCAGTGCTTATTCTTTGTATCAGATGACAGGAAGAGATACATTGCTAAGATCTTACTTCACCAGAACTAACTAGGTCTTCCTGACTGAACGTTGTGCTCAGTCATGTCCGACTGTTTGCGACCTCATGGACTGTAGCCTGCCAGGCTCCTCTGTCCATGGGATTCTCCAGGCAAGAATCCTGGAGTGGGTTGCCTTTGCCGCCTCCAGGGGTTCTTCCCGACCCAGGGATGGAACCCACCTGTCTTGCGTCTCCTGCATTGGTAGGCAGTTTCCTTCCTACTGTGCTGCCTACAGCTCCCTTACCAATGCGTAGAAGAGACACCCTGTAGTACTCGAACAAACAAGTGTTTTTAGGTTCAAGTGATATGCTTTACTTTCTTTTTAATTGAAAACTTGTTCCCCTCAACAAATACTTAGGAACTGACTTACAGAAAGCTTGCACCTACTCTGTCTTTGCCAACAGTGATCATAATCTAAAATGAAAAATGATGAATTTCTAAGAAAAAGATGTGTTTAAAGGAAGACTGAGGATATATTTGCCCTCTTATAAAGGGCTGTTTGTGATTTTACTTCTATGCATGCAGGTGCACTTAACCCCCTTTCTTCCCCTGCCCTTGCCTTCTGTGTTAAAATTGTGTTAATGGATAACATTTTAATAAGATGAAGGTAACTTTGTTTTACAGGTATTCAAGTCCTTGCCAGCACTGAGCTAGCCCTGAGGTTCTGTGAGCACCGAAGTGGCAGGAGCAGTGCCATCCAAATAATTCTTGTGATCTCTATTTGCAAACTTTGGGACACCCCTGACAGCCCGTTTCGATCCCTGGTTGGGGGATTAAGATCCCACATGGCATGCGGTGCAGCCAAGAAAATATAATCATTTCCAAACTTCTTTGCAGTTAAGTCGGCGCCATGTGACTCACTTGGACCACGTGCTGCAAGCCTCCTCCATCCCTCCTCCTGTGGAGGTGTAGGAAGCCACGTGTTAAATTGACTGTTAAGAGGATGGTACAGGATGGAGAGATTCTGAGGTCCCCAGTGACTGAAGAAGACAGCCCCTCCACCCCAAATCAGGTTTTGCATGAATCAGAGATTCATTGAGATTCGCAAGCCTGTTCTCTGATTTTTTGCCAATACTGTGCTTGTAGTGCTTTTCTTCATGGAACTTAGATTATTTTGGGACTGTTTCTTAGAGTTTCTTATAGTTATGATAAGTACTAGAAAGGTATAAAGTGAGCTTTCAGTGGGAGGCCTGGCTCGTCTCTGGCCAGGAAAAGCTCATCTGAGCTGAGATCTGAAGTGGAGAAAGGCACCTCCCTTCTGACCAAAGACAAGTGCCAAAGCCATGAGGCCAGCAAAAGCAGACATATGACACCCTCTGTGGCCTGCAGGATATGCCCATCTTAGCTACCACTGTCTTTCCTTTTAGAAAAGTATGTCAATACAAGTGTGTTGGTAACATTTATAGGGATAATATTGGTTGTCCTGATATATCAAGATGATCTTCCTAAGTTAGTACTTTTAGTAAGATGTGACACAGCCAGCTGGTCCTCTTCTTAGCCTAACTAGAGCTTAGCCCTCCCCCCTAAAGTCACTGTACCCCCAGAATCCTGTCCTACAGGGACCTCAACTATCACTCTTCTAAAGCCACTTGCACATTATTGGGCCACCTGGGCTGTAATTTGAAGTCCATGTCACCTGGCTATAACACTGTCTTCAAAAGGAGAACTTGGATGATACTTTATGAAAAGCTTTCTTTTATGATTTAAGTAATTTATTTTTTGACAGTGCTTGGTCTTACCTGCTGTGTAGGGTCTCCCAGGTGGCTCAGATGGTAAAGAGTCTGCCTGCAATGCAGGAGATATGAGTTTGATCCCTGGCTCAGGAAGATCCCCTGGAGAAGGAAATGGCAACCCACTCCAGTATTCTAGCCTGGAAAATTCCATGGACAGAGCCTTCCAGGCTACATTCCAATTCAGAGTTGGACATGACTGAGCGACTTCACTTTCTTTCTTCTTGCTGTGTAGGATTTTTTTTTTCTTTAGTTTTGGCAGAATAGGGGCTACTCTCTAGTTGCAGCCTTGGGCTTCTCATTGGGGTGGCTTCTCATTGTAGAGCAGGCCCTGGGGCATGTGGGCTTCCGTGGGTTTGGTTTCCAGGCTCTAGAGTACAGGCTCGATAGCTGTGGCACACGGTTTAGTTGCCGCACAGCATGTGGGATCTTCTCAGATCAGGGCTTGAACCCGTGTCTCCTGCATTAGCAGGCAGATTCTTTACCACTGAGCCACCAGGGAATCCCCTAAAATTTTTTTCTTAATGGCTTCTCTTAAGTCTGTAAAGAAGTTAAGGCCAGTGTTTGTCTAATTTTGCAAATGAGAACACTGGTTTCAGGAAGGAATCCTTAATGGTTTTGGACTCCACTTCTGAGTCTACACAGATCTGCCACCATTTGCTTCCTGTCTGGATGTAGCTCAAGTTTTCTGGGTGTCTTGAATAGCAGATTTACATTCTTCCTCACCACCATCTCTTTAGTCGGCCTTTCTGACTTGAACATCTGTTTTCTCTTGACATTGTGGAGTCCTAAAGCCTCAAAGTTTAGAGAGAATGATTTTTTTTTTGTTGTTATTTCTAGCTATGAAATAACACCAGGAGATTGAAATATAAAAAATTTAGTTTCTTATAGAGGATATGCTTTGTTTAAATCCTGCGGACTTCAAAGATGGCCAGAACACAACTCTTTTACTCTCTAACTTAAAGT